ATGATAATGATATTAATATGTGAATGTAACTGATGATACTGATATTAATATGTGAATGTAACTGATGATACTGATATTAATATGCGAATATAACTGATGATACTGATATTAATATGTGAATGTAACTGATGATACTGATATTAATATGCGAATGTAACTGATGATACTGATATTAATATGGGAATGTTACTGATGATACTGATATTAATATGCGAATGTAACTGATGATAATGATATTAATATGTGAATGTAACTGATGATACTGATATTAATATGTGAATGTAACTGATGATACTGATATTAATATGCGAATGTAACTGATGATAATGATATTAATATGTGAATGTAACTGATGATAATGATATTAATATGTGAATGTAACTGATGATACTGATATTAATATGTGAATGTAACCGATGATAATGATATTAATATGTGAATGTAACTGATGATACTGATATTAATATGTGAATGTAACTGATGATACTGATATTAATATGTGAATGTAACTGATGATACTGATATTAATATGTGAATGTAACCGATGATAATGATATTAATATGTGAATGTAACTGATGATACTGATATTAATATGTGAATGTAACTGATGATACTGATATTAATATGCGAATATAACTGATGATACTGATATTAATATGTGAATGTAACTGATGATACTGATATTAATATGTGAATGTAATTGATGATATTGATATTAATATGCGAATGTAACTGATGATACTGATATTAATATGTGAATGTAACTGATGATAATGATATTAATATGCGAATGTAACTGATGATACTGATATTAATATGGGAATGTTACTGATGATACTGATATTAATATGCGAATGTAACTGATGATAATGATATTAATATGTGAATGTAACTGATGATAATGATATTAATATGTGAATGTAACTGATGATACTGATATTAATATGTGAATGTAACTGATGATACTGATATTAATATCTGAATGTAACTGATGATAATGATATTAATATGTGAATGTAACTGATGATACTGATATTAATATGTGAATGTAACCGATGATAATGATATTAATATGTGAATGTAACTGATGATACTGATATTAATATGTGAATGTAACTGATGATACTGATATTAATATGTGAATGTAACCGATGATAATGATATTAATATGTGAATGTAACTGATGATACTGATATTAATATGTGAATGTAACTGATGATACTGATATTAATATGCGAATATAACTGATGATACTGATATTAATATGTGAATGTAACTGATGATACTGATATTAATATGTGAATGTAATTGATGATATTGATATTAATATGCGAATGTAACTGATGATACTGATATTAATATGTGAATGTAACTGATGATACTGATATTAATATGTGAATGTAACTGATGATACTGATATTAATATGTGAATGTAACTGATGATAATGATATTAATATGTGAATGTAACTGATGATACTGATATTAATATGTGAATGTAACTGATGATACTGATATTAATATGCGAATGTAACTGATGATACTGATATTAATATGCGAATGTAACTGATGATATTGATATTAATATGTGAATGTAACCGATGATAATGATATTAATATGTGAATGTAACTGATGATAATGATATTAATATGTGAATGTAACTGATGATACTGATATTAATATGTGAATGTAACTGATGATACTGATATTAATATGCGAATGTAACTGATGATACTGATATTAATATGTGAATGTAACTGATGATACTGATATTAATATGTGAATGTAACTGATGATACTGATATTAATATGCGAATGTTACTGATGATACTGATATTAATATCTGAATGTAACTGATGATAATGATATTAATATGTGAATGTAACTGATGATACTGATATTAATATCTGAATGTAACTGATGATAATGATATTAATATGTGAATGTAACTGATGATACTGATATTAATATGTGAATGTAACCGATGATAATGATATTAATATGTGAATGTAACTGATGATAAATCATTATTAAATCATCAAGTACACTCGTTTAGTGCATTTAAGATCTGAAATAAGTCATGAAATAACAAACATTTATGTTGATTAATTAATTAATCATGAAGTCACTTTAGATAGAACGTTCATTGTAGATAAACAGAATATGATTGTAAACCTGTAGATTGAACGAAATCATTTTATGAGACCAAAGTAAGAATGACTTTATCAAAAGGAGTAAAATTCTTGTTTTCCACATTAGACCTTGCAGTTGCAGCTTGTTGTAAACGCGGGCAGAAAAGAAGTTGTTCTGACTATCTTCTGAAACGACAAGTTTACAAGCAGTGTGCTTTCTCGTTCGGAGACCAGCCAGTTAAAGCTTCTTTCTGGAGTATTTCTCTTATCCGAGGGCACCATCTAGTGGCTGACAAGCATATCACACAAAAACTCTGTTGCTCTGTTTAAGATGGCGACTTCACGTTTCTGCTTATGAACGTGCTTCTGTAGCCGACAAACAGCTAAAACACGTTGTTTTGCGAGTATTATTCTCATGTCATGCTGTGTTCTCATATATTTATGTTTTAGAGACTTTCTTGTCTGTGTAAAGATCATTAACTCTGCATCAGCCGAGGTATTCCTTAAATGTGAAGCAAGTAAGCGGTAGTCTAACGCTATTGGTTAGTTCTGGTCGGCGCTCAGTTTCCTATAGCACGGAGCTTTGCGGGGGAGGGGGCATGCTTACCAGAAAAAATAAGACGTATCGCTTACATTATATCACATGAGATAATCACCTTTACAGATTTCTGAAAAATTATACATCATTTCTGAAAGGGGAGAACACTGGAAAGCAGCTTTAAGATGTGGCACACTGTCTGTTGACCTCTGACCTTGCTGTGGACAAATACATGTGTTAGATATTTCTAACATTACATTAATTAGCATCTGGAAATCCTCCTTCCCACACAGTAACTGTGTTTGCTGTGTTCCCATCTCCACCATAAGGTGTCAGTGTTTCCCCAGCTGTTACTTTATTTACATATTCACACAGCCTCACGACAGCAGAGGTCATTCCATGCCTTTGAGGATGCACAAACAGCTTTTGGCCTCAGGTAAAACATTGCAGATGGCCTGTTGTAATGAGACGAAGCAGTGATGACTAAAGGTTTAGTTCACAACGGCAGCTATTTGAAATGTATGAAGAAAAGGTTAAAAAAGCAGGTCCTGGTTATGAGTCCTCCCTGTTCAATCAGCTTCTCAGCTGGGATGAAGCAGCTGTTTCAGGGATGTGCTTACATAAAAGCACACAGAGCTGCTTTTAGCTCTGCCACCACAGCAAAAACACAAACTAGCTCCTTATCACGGTCCGATGAGGTGCTTTCAAAACAAGGTTGTGCATTTTCTCCTGCGTTCAACAGTAGTAGAGTGGGGGAGGGGGAATGCAGTGGTGTCCCTTTGCATAACAGAGAGCAGCCCCACTCATCTGGACAATGCACTGCATACATACATACATACATACATACATACATACATACATACAAACATACATACATACATACACATACATACATACATACATACAAACATACATACATACATACACATACATACATACATACATGCATGCATGCATACATACATACATACATACATACATACATACATACATACATACATACATACAAACATACATACATACATACATACATACACATACATACATACATACATACATACATACATACATACATACATACATACATACATACATACATACATACATACATACATACATACATACATACATACATGCATGCATGCATGCATACATACATACATACATGCATACATGCATACATACATACATACATACATACATACATACATACATACATACATACATACATACAAACATACATACATACATACATACACATACATACATACATACATACATACATGCATGCATGCATACATACATACATACATACATACATACATACATACATACAAACATACATACATACACATACATACATACATACATACATACATACATACATACATGCATGCATGCATGCATACATACATACATGCATACATGCATACATGCATACATACATACATACATACATACATACATACATACATACATACATACATACATACATACATACATACATACATACATGCATACATGCATACATACATACATGCATACATGCATACATACATACATACATACATGCATACATACATACAAACATACATATCTATATCTATCTATCTATCTATCTATCTATCTATCTATCTATCTATCTATCTATCTATCTATCTATCTATCTATCTATCTATCTATCTATCTATCTATCTCTCTATCTATGTATCTATCTATCTATATTTTTGCTTTTACTTTGTTTCCTTTGGCAATACAAACATATTTTCCACCAAAATGTTCGTTTTTGGGACTACAACCACTAATCTTTTAGGACCAATCAACATCTCCAGGGTCAACGTGCAAACGTGTCTTTTCTGGACGTGGCATCGCAACTCCCATAAGTCATACTTTGAGCCAATCATCATCATCGGCAGGCACAGGACTGGAGCAGATCCGGTACCTACACCAGCACGTTTGTCCAAGGTGCACACCACACATGCTGCTATATCAGACCAAGATCCGGTTCGTGATGATCAGAGGTCAGAAGCAAGTCTAACTTTTATGCAGAAACACATTTTAGAGCAGAGGGAACACTCCTTTAACAGAATCCAGAAGACCTCAGCAAGACGCCGTAAACACGCCTCACAGTCAGATGTAGTCTTTAGGTCGTAGTAAAGTCTTCATCCTGTGTGAACAGGGCCTAAAGATTCCTGCACTTCTGTTTTTTTGGCATTTAGTGGAGCGTCTGTTGCATCAGCTTAACGGAGCCGAGCCTGTCCCTCTCTGTCGACCGGGACGTGAGAGTAGGAGACAACTCTCCCATGAATAAAGACAAACACGGGTGTGACTAAGGTTTATTACTTTAATCAGTTGAGCTAGCTACAAAATGTCCACCACTTCACATACTGACAGGATACACAGAGGGAGTCTTTACTAGGACATGCAGTGAGGACATCAATCTCACAGTTTAAACTATTGTGCCATTCAGGTTTGAGGGTGTTTAATCACTTTACCGGAACTACTCAACATTTTGGCCATTTGGTGTGCATAGCTCTAAAGTACAGAAGCGAAAAAGAAAGAAACTAATAATAATAATAACTTTTTATCTGTTTTATTTTAGAGTATAGGCATCATTTTCATTAATATCAGCATTTTTACCAATAACAAACCACACTGGGAAAATAAACTTAGGGATACAGTCTTCTTATAAAAGTAAGGTCTCAGAAATATGCGTCTTTGCTTTACATTGCAAACTTTTATTTTATTTTTCAGAGCATCCAAAACCTATGATACAGTACACAACCAGTCCTCCTCTTTCATCACATAAGAAACATCTTCCGCAATGAACTGCATATTTGTTTAGAAAACAGGTCATTTTTTTGCAACACAACCCCTAAATATCTTTCTATATATATGTGTATACATATATGTATATATATTCATACATATATATATATATATATACTTGTATATACTTGTTTTAGCTTCATCTCACTTTTTGATTCATTTTGCATTATTGTACAACAAGATGGTCACAGTCGGTAAATATATCGAGACAGAAAGAGTGGCACGATTGCAAACTTGCAGGAGTATGGAACGATCAACTGTGTCCTAATACTGAGCATGCGTTTTGTCAGTTTTTGCTACTGCCGTGTCTTGTTTTTACATTTACTTTTCAGACAGGATTTATTTATGAGACTAAAATCTACCATTGTCATGCAGAGAACGCACAATTCACATCACTTGGAATGCAATGTCTAATACAGTTACAGAGTCTAGTTACACGTCATCTAAACAGTAACTCAGGATGATTAAAGAAAAATGTAGTGAGGGCTGCCTCTTGATTGTGAGCACTCTTTGCAATCTCTTCCAACTGTTCTACCAAACTATGTGTACACATCACTGATGTCATCTTCGTCCAGCCTGTTCCTCTCTGTTGTCATGACAACATGAAAATAAGGAGCGTGATCGTAGCCTAAATGGTATGACACAGGTTCACAAAGACAATACTGATACTGAAAGAAAGAACGAAACAAACAGCTTGTTTAGCATTCCCATTATTTACCTGTCATCCAGAGAGAGAGAGAGTGTGTGTGTGTGTATATATATATATATATATATATATATATATATATATATATATATATATATATATATATATATATATAAGAGATAGAGAGAGATAAAAAGAATAAAAACTTCACAAGTGAGCTATAGAGCCATCAAGTCAGCACTATATACAACCTTTGGAAAGAATGATATACGGAGTATAAGAAATCATCTTTTTACGAGGACAATCATCTTGAAAAAGCTCGACAGACGACACAGAACAACATTTAATTAGGGGAAGGGAAGGTGATATGTGCATGTGTGCAAACCTAGAAGGTCAATACCATGAAGTAAGCATGTCAGCGCCTGCCGATGTGCGGCGCCAGACGCCAGGAAGATCATGCTCTGGGCTCAGGGGGCTTAGCCACTGCCCAGCATCTTTGTGGCACGCTGGTTGGCCTCATCAATTCTAGTCTTGTTGGACTCAGCCTAGAGTAGAGAACGAGGAAGACAACATCATCAGGCTGACTGTGTTTGGGGTGTTGCTTTCTGGACCACTCATGTTCTGAACAGAGAGGACAATACTTGTGGTGAATAAGAGGTGCCGTTACACACCGTTTCATTGATGTGACCAAGTCAACCAGGTTCAAAGGTCCTGATGACCATCAGGATTGAGGGGAATGATTTGAAAACTAGTTTGCATTAACAAGATTCTTCACACATGCTGAACAACCAAAATGAAGTTTTTGTATCTACCAGGATCACCACAGTAACACTAGCAGGCCACTGGAAAAGGCATGGACACAAGTGTGAAAGGTGATATACAAAAACGTTCTTCTGTTGGACACCGATAACTATTTTTTATGTGAATCTCCAGTCTCTCTGAGTCATCTGCTGATTTTTTACCAAAGACAAAGCTGAACACTTGTCCTAGGGCCACGGCCCACATGAGCCCTGTGTGATGGTTCGTCCCAGAGCTTAGAGAGAGCCATAACATGAACGTTGTCAGTGGCATTCGTTAGCTGTAAAAGTTATTTCGTGACAAAGGACAAACAAACTAACCTCTTGTTCATATGATTCATAATGGTTGGAGGTTTTGTGATAACTGCGGTTAGGGTTAGAAATTCCTCCCAATTCTTCAGAGGTTTCAAAAGTAATACAACACTTGCTGTGCTGTTTTCTTCTTAAATCTTAAAATCTTAAAAAAGAACAAAATTATGGGAGGATTAACATAGAAAAGCATTCGCACCTTCTCCATGATCCTGTCGATCTGGCGGTTCTGGGTATCGATCTCGTTGCCCATGTCGAGGGCCATGTGCCGCAGGTTACCGATGATGCCTCCCACTTGCTCCAGGTTCTCATCCATCTCGTTTTCCCGGGCATCGTCTGTTACCCTGAATGACAACAAGGTCAGATTTAAATACTGTAAAGTCGGCATAAACACAAGGCCATGTTCCACCTCTGATGCTCTCCGGGGACGACACCGACATTAGGATTAGGAGACATGGAGGATCTTATGACGTGCAGAACTGTATCTAGCAATTAAATGTGTGTAAATGCTGCTTTTATTCAACACACAGGGAAACACATGATTAAAAATAAAAATGTGAAAGACTAAAATGGAAGTTGTGATCTGCACTAACATGATTATATTATTTGTGTTACACAGTTTTAGAATGGTCGCTGAAGACGTCCCTAAAGCTGAAACATGGCTGGAGTCAGGCTCTCTCATCTAAACTGGGCTAAAGTTGTGTATATTATGGGTATTTGGGTGCATATTAACCCTAACCCATGTTTCCTATTGCTCCCTGACAGCAGAGGTACTCCTTTCTCTGTGGTAGACATGGTGTGGTCATTGAGGAGCAAGTAGATCTTTAATGTGTTCCTTTAATCATTCAACAATGTACTCAGTCTAAAAAATAGTCCCCCACCTGAATACAGTACACACCCAGAGGAGCCATGATTCTATATTCTGACAGTCAGGCAGGACTTGAGATCATTCAAACAGTTGTCTTCAAAACCTTCTCAAGCTCCTCCCACACCTGACTTTTAGCTACAGATGTTTGTTATATGGTGGCCTGAATGGTTCAATGACACGTCAGGAGACCTCTGTACCAGACGAGCCCCGGAGATCTTTGTTCCAGGTGTCCACCAGAAGGTCCTACAGTTTCTGTTGTGACAGGAACTAATGGCATTGAAGTCACATCTCCAGTGGAGTTCACACATTTTACTTGTTTACATTTCCTGTTCTCTGAGTCATGATATTGGCTGTTAGGTTCCCGTATGGCCGGAGTCAGAGCTTGGTCTGCACGGACAGCAGTAAGTCAGGCTTGTTTGCGATAAGACTTGGTCTCCACCAAGGCTGTCCTTTGTCACTGATCCTGTTCATAACTTTTAAGGGCAGGAGTTTTCATTGCAGCCAAGGTGTTGAGGAGATCCGTTTTGGTGGCCTAAGGATCAGGTCTCTGCTTTTTGCAGATGATGTGGTCCTGTTAGCTTCATCAGACAGTGATCTCCAGCTGGAGAGGGTTATAGCTGAGTGTGAAGCAGCTGGGATGAGAATCAGCTCCTCTATATTCAAAACCATGGTCTTGCACCGGAAATTAGTAGATTGCCATCTCCGGGTCAGGGATGAGGTCCTGCCCAAAATGGAGGAGTTTAAGTATCTCGGGGTCTTGTTCACGAGTGAGGCAAAGATGGAGCATGAGATCGATAGGTAGTTTGATGCAGTGTCGGCAGTGATGTGGGCGTAGTACCGATTTGTCGTGAAGAGGGAGCTGAGGCGGAAGGGGAAGCTCTCGATTTACCGGTCGATCTACGTTCCTACCCTCACCTATGGTCACGAGCTTTGGGTAGTGACCGAAAGAACGAGATCGCAGATACAAGCGGCTGAAATGAGTTTTCTCAGCAGGGTGGATGGGCTCTCCCTTAGAGATAGGGTGAGAAGCTCGGTCATCTGGGAGGAGCTCGGAGTAGACCCGCTGCTCCTCCACGGAAAGTCTCAGCCATGTGGAGACCGCTCAGACTGGGACGTTACTCGAGGTGAATCACAAGCTAGAGGTGTTAGTGCGCATACAATACATCTGTATGTGATCTTGGAGAAAGTCACTGCACGTATGGGCAAGATCAAAACCAAAACTTGGATCTATTGAAAGACAACATTATCAGTTAAAAAGTGAAAGCCACGAAGGAATGCAGACAGATTCAGTGAAAACCTGACCTACCCCGTCTTTGGTTTGGTGGCCTTAGCCTGGCGAGATCTACAACTGAAGGAGTCAATGTGCTCTTCACTCCCTTTTTTATTAGAGCTGCTGCATCATCATGCTTCTTGACTGATTTTGCCATTGGGAAACTCACCAACATAGCCCTCACAGTGGTGGAAAATCACTTTTTATATTTACAAAGACAGAACAACTTTAGGAACAGTTGGAGTTCATGACCACTCGCCTGCATTATATCTCAACCATTCAGTTTCAGGTATTTTAGTACCTGCGGATAAAGCCTCCACTGATGGCCATCTGTTCACGCTCATCCACCACACGGGCAGGCTGGCTGGCCACCACACCATCCTGATTGTTCCCCCAGGCCTTGCTAGCTCCACTCTTCATTCTGGGTGGCGGCAGCAACGTGGAGGGTGAGGAGAGACAGTTAGTGACTGAGCAAATCCTAGTTCACCTCAACAAGGCAGGCTTCCCAATACTGATAATCTACAAAGAGCCTTGGGCTTGAGGTTTTAACAGCAGATTCATATTCATCAGTATGTAGCATGATCAGCTGACACAGAGGTGTTAATTGGTTTCATGCATTCGACACATAAAAAATGAAGGGGACTAGAGTAAGTCAAGCAAAGCATAGCAGGCATGGGTTTAGTATGTACAGGCTAATTCAGTTGAAATGTTATATTTAAGGGTAAATACAAACTGATCAGGCTATCCTTTTATTCTATAGTAAAGTAATCATTTTATTACACACAGCTGCTTTTCTTAACACATCTGTGAAAATCCCATCCCACTCCCAAACAGAGAACAAGGCTACGGCAGACACACAACACAGAGTACGAGACGGTCACATTCTCAGGTAGGACCACAATCAGTGCTGAGAACAAACTCAAAATCATAAAAGTGTACAAAACAAAACACACAAGTGGAAGAAGTCAGTTGAGAGTATGTTTATCTACCCCTATATCTTTGTGTTCACCCCCACCAAGCCCTATTCTCACCCTTGCTTATATTTATTCAGTCATCACCGCTTTCCCATCAAAGTTCTGGAAATCTGAAGGGTGAGGTAGTGGTGAAGCACAAGAGGGTGATGGATCACCCTGTGTGGACCAGGATATGTACTGACAAACACAGCTGTGATCACACAGCTTTGCAGATGTCCTCTCACTTTGACCGTCCATCGTGGCATCACCTCACCACACGCAGTTTTGGCACCAAAACAAAAGATAAGGGGAAGGGGATAAACAGAATTTCATACTGTGGCTTTTGTCATAATGAAGGCACTTGTCAAAGGAGGACTCGTCTATAGTGAACATAAACAGAACAGAACACTTTCCACCCTGTGAGACGGTTTTGGCTGCTAAGTTTCTAAGGCTTTCACGTGTTGTCGGAGGCATTAAGGCTTTTAGCAGTTCAGACTTTTTACTTCCAATATTTCTTGAAAATGGTGGTGGGGTTAATAATGTGGAATGTATTTTTTCAGTAGTTTTGATACTTTATTTGGGGTCACTTCGCAGTAATCACAGGTTTCTGACATTGATGTCAATGATCCAAAGAGCCCTGAGATGCACTTCACCTGTGGCTCAGTCCCACTGGGCCCAAACCAGTAGCATCTAGCTTGATAGAGCGGCGTTAGGGTTTGTATTTGTGGTTTTCTGAGCGTCATTTGTGTTTAAATACATAAATATGGTTGAATAATGTCCCTGGGGCACATGGCATCCTGAAAGGATGATGAATGGAGTTTATTGTATACAAATTTCCAAAACCAAAACAAAACATGGACATATGCCTCTGTGGGAGAAAGCAGTGTGGTGGACCACACAGTCAACTGGTTGGGAATATTAGTAATAATTCCCATGTGTTGTGTAAGATAACAGTGTTCTTAGCAATTATAAGCCTAGCCATTGTGAGTTTTCTTCAGCTAGCCACCAAGAAGGCTATAATCAGTGGATGGTAAGTAAATGAAACACAGTGTGCATAAATAAAGCGGGTCTTCGATGACGTTTCTCACATTAAAGATGATTGACTCTAGTGAGGTGTCTGCCTCCTGCTTAATGATCTGAAGATTTGTGTCTATAATTTCAGTTTTTTCCTCATAATTCTAGTTTGAAGTCTTGAACAAAGCTCTCTGAGGCATAATGCTGACCTTTTGAAGCCTCTTTGCAGATATTACCTGTGTGTCTCTAAAAGTTTTCAAGAGCCTCTTAAGGAATTGTTTCAGCACTAACCACTCTCATTGTGAACACACAGGAAACTGTAACAGCTCGTCCGAGTCAGCAGCTGAAAGCTAAGAGGGCGGGGCTTAGTGGGGACTGAGCTTCAGGTCAATTACATCTATAGGTTTAATTAAAAAACACAAGAAAAAAGTCTTTATATCATCAAATTACAATTAACAAGATACTTTGGATTACAGTGTACATAAATGATGGATACACCGCTGTGATACCAGCAGACGAGGAACTACGCCAGCGATGTAGAGGAATTTCCAGGTGAACAAAGGTGACCAGAGTAAGGCGGACTGCAAACTACGTTCATAATGCAATTGCTCAGTTTACGGTTTGTAGAGGTCAATGATGTTGCCTTTAGCACAAAGGTATATATGCTTTCTTCTTGTATCATCCTGTTACGTCCCGGACAGGAGATGTTAAAATGTGAAGGAGGGGCCGTAACACTTCCCGAATGCAAAAAGTCACATTTTTGTATGAGAACATCTCAGGTTTACATTTCCAAGCACCACAGATGTAAACAACAGAGGGAGGAGAGGAATGCACATCCACTAGCTAGAAATACTCTAAGTTTGTCTCGGATACAGATGGCAGTAATACGGCTGCTTGTGAAATCTGCGGTGGTGACAAAGTGTCATCTAGCTTCAGAAACTGCACAGCATGGCTGCCGTTATCTTTATTTTTCATGAATACCTTTTTTAAGTTCACTTCAAATATCAGGAGATACATTGTCGATGTTAAAAATGCAATTCCAGTGAAGTGACATTTTTACACTAAGAGCGTGGCTCTGTCAATAACATACAGCAGGTAGATAAAGGTAATAGATGGTTCTACTAGTTAAAGGGTAATTACATAGTAGTAATGTACACTTAAAGGGATATTCCACCCCTAAGAGAAATGTAGTCAGTTGCCATCATCAGTAGAGTTAGATATATGGGACAAAGCATTCTGGAACCAGCCCAGTCATTCTCCTAATCTGGGAGTATTCTGTTATCGTTAGCTTAGCAGAAAATTATGTAGCATTTCACCCTATCTGTGGGCCATGTATCACCAAATCTTGGGTAAGAACATCTCTCCCTCAGCCAGGGAAGGGAAAATGTGTCCTGGGTAAGAGGCCAGCATGGAAATGATCCAAAAACCAGTCCAGGCAACTGAAGAAGCCTGAAGCAGAAGCACCAAGAAGTTCTCTTGGAGTGGCCTAGTCAGTCTCCAGATTCGAGTAGCCAAACATTAGCCATGAAACATTACAGCCATGGTGAGGATCTTCAAACTACTAGACATGTCTGACCTCTGTGATTACTGTGAAAAGGCGTGTTTTACTTAATACATGAAAATGTGAATGACTGTATCATTTTTCTAGATTTAGTTTTTAGGGTTTTGGGGGTTTAAATGTGTTTTTTCCACCATGACTGGATGTAATTTTCTAAATAAAAGCTGAAGAAAGTGAAATAAAATTGCTCACACCTTATTTTTATTATGGATATCTACATGCCACCTAACTACATTTATTTTGATATTTCTATGTTTTAGTCCTTATAATTTTACTTTCCAAAATGACTTGTAAACTGCTCCCATCTAGCCGTGACTTACTGACGGGTTTGTAGAAAACTCCACAGCGGAGCTGCATAATTCTAACTAAAATATATCTAGCTTGTTGTTTTCCATGCAGCCAGTTTGAGTCAGCGTCCCAAAAGGCTACCATGTCACTAACTGATATGACTGACCTACATGTGAAAGAATTCCCCGTGGGAAAAGGGGCCTAGCGAACAGTAATGTTTGCTGCAGCCTGTGCAGAGTAAAGGCTAATGTAGCACAGAGCTCTGTAGGAGAGATGGCACTGCAGAGAAACTGCAGCAGAGCCGACGGGGGAGAAAACAAGGCAGCAGAAGGCTGGATCGCTATACGGAGCCATGAACAGACAAGGGTACCAAGCAGTGCATGCACAGTAGTATGATGTACCCATCTACTCTTAAAACCTGGAAACAGCTGATGGCACACGTGCTCCAACCTTATGCTTTGCTTTCAATTGGTCAGACGGTCACAGGGCTTGTTCTGCTGTTTTCAGTGTTTTCTTTCAACATTTTATAGAACGATGTGCTTCTTTTCTGCACTGAGTTTTGTGTTTTGATCTCACATCTTGATTATTATTTAAAATGGAGGTGATTTTATCATGTTTGCTTGAATGACTCTGATTCAATTTGCCTTTAAACTAGCTCAACATTCTATTATTTATTCCATTGTTGGTTTATTGTTTCTACTTTTAATGTTGAGTACTTTGGTCACCCTCTGGGTAGTGTAAAGAGCTATATGAATAAACTTTGATTGATTGATTTTCTCCCAATCTAACACTTTTCCTTTGTGCTTTTAGGACATTTACAGGTGAAACAGGAAACATGAGAATCTGGTGCAAAAGTTAATATATGTCAGCAATCCAGCTCAGAATGAGAGACCATCTAAAGGCTCAGGAACCCTCTGGATTCATCAGCTGACTGGAGTGTGACACCTTGAGTCTAGAATAATATTCTAAAGGTCTGAGATTGTGAATGTGGGGTTTTCACAAACTGTAAGCCATACTCATCTAGCCTGGCCTGCCAGACTCCTCACAGAGGAAGGGGTCTGGGAACGCTCCTATTTAAATAACCCAGCCCCCTAAAAATTCTAACCAAGCCAATCAGAGCTGAGTAGCGTCTCACGCCGAGTTTGTCCAACATGGCGACTGAAGCGGAGTTCACTGCGGCTCTTTCCTCTGTTCTAAATGACTTGAATATCTTTAAAACAACAAGTAGAAGCGCTAAAAGCCTTCCTTCTAAAAGAACAAAAGATGTTTGCACTGTTGCCAGACGCCATTTTTTTGACTACAGCTAAACAACTACAGAGGTACAGTGGGCATTTCCGTCTTTTTTCTGATTGGTTACTTTTGAGCTGGCTAGTCCCGCCCCTCATGTGCCTCTCTGCCTGCGAGTTACCAGACTCTCTCTCTGTGCAGAATTAACCAGAGGACGAGTCCGGCAGGCCAGGCGAATACTCGTCACAGTTATAACAAATAAAGAGTGAAACATCAGGATTTGCATGGAATGAGTCTGTCTCGTGGATTAGTTTTAACTTTTAGGTTGAATTAGTGACATAAATTTACTTTTGTAACCAAGCAGTTTCACCTTTTTAACTC